TTTGCGGCTTAGGGTTTGGGATTTAGGGTTTCGGGTCTAGGGTTTAGGGTTCAGCAATGATGAGGAAGCACAGGATAGGGCTCGCGCAGCCGGAAAGGGATAAAAAGCTGAGCTAGAGAGTAGATGTAGAAGAATGGTACCTATTGTGTAGCGAGTATGCAATCATTTAGGAGGTGTGTGTATATAAATATAAATATAACTATAAATATAAATATAAACAAATAAATAAATATATATATATATATATATAGATACATATAAACATATATACATATATGCAAAAGTACATGGGTTTGGGTGCTGAAGGTTTAGTTTTAGACTTCGGGCTTCAGGATATGGACTCGACTAAGGGGACAAGGTTGCGCAGATTCAGAAATGGGTCAGGAAGGCTACGGGTTGAAGGTGACATGACTCTCAGATGGCTTTCGGAGCTACAGGGTTGGATGGAAGTAGTATTCTCCTTATTGTTGATATCCCCAAAACCTTATAAAATCAACAATATAACATTCAACAATATAACATATACGTGTAGTTCTACATATACTTCTACATAAATACAAATAGAAAAAAATAAATATATTCATATATACTTATTACTGTACTTATTTGTGCGCCCACCACAATGCCAAAGGGAAAATAACTGCATTTGCCCAAAGCCACTATGAACAACAATCCACGTATTTGCAAAACCACACCCCAGAGCAGGGGCCTTCGACACATTCAAAGCGGAAGCCCTATAATACTCTGATATGGTCACTTCTCGAAAACATGGTCTCTTTGGGGGTCCTTATTACAAGGCGGCCCCTCTTATTTGGGGTACCCAAAAAAGGGGCCATGATTTCGAGAGCTGGCCATATCACTTTGAGCGCCAGGCCAGGCCGTCAGCGCAAGCATCGAAGGCAAAACACCTGGCCACCAGTTCTTCAGCGATGCTCTGACGAAGATGACGTGGGTTCAGCGAGAGGGTTTTGGGGTTTAGGGTTGGTAAAGTTCGCAAGCTGTAGAGCAAATAAGTCCTGCGGCGGGGTCCTCAAAGTTTTGGAAGTATGTATAGGGCAGGAAGCTGCCCACTGCATGAGATTCTGTTAATTGTGTAAAACTCATCAACTGCTAGGCACTCGCTGCCAAAAGCGCTCTACCAATGCCACTTGCGTCGTGTCTGGTGGATTGCGGCCACACCCGCACTCATCTCTTGCAGTGTGGTAAAAAGGCATCGGGGAAGCGGACCATCAAAGGGGAGTAAAATAGGAAGAAGTTCATGGCAGGAGCCACAAAAGCAAAGCCATGAGCAAGCTCGTGTGCGGGACATGCTCCTCAAACCAACCCCAGAACTTACTGTCGCTATAACCCTGAACCCTAAACCCTAAACCCCAAACCCTAAACCCTAAACCCTAAACCCCAAGCCCCAATATTCAGGGGAGCCTCCCCATCGCTCCCACGAGGCCGCGAACGCAGAAGTTCACGAAGCCTGGCTTGTAGGAGTTCAAGAAGAGCTTAGGGTTTAGGGTTTAGGGTTTAGGGGTTAGGGTTTAGGTTGGGCATGGGGGAACCCTTCACCCTAAACCCTAGGTAGCAGGGGGGTCTCCGGGCTTGGGGGTTGTACGGATTGGGGCTAGTTTCGGGTTCGGCCTGAAGGTAAGGGCCCCGCGACAGGCACGGAAGAAATCCAAAGCCCTTCGGGCACTTCAAAGGTTGAAGGACTTGGGACTCAGGGTTTTAATCTAGGGTTTGTAGGGTTTTTCTGAAGGTATCTTTAGGTTTTGTGGCCCTATGGAATTAGAATATCTTGGGTAGCGATCAATATGCAGAGACTCTAAGGGGAGAGTATTAGGCTCATGTCTGTGTGTGTATATATTCAGTACTATATGTAGCAAATCCAGATCTTGCGTACTATGATATGTGCACGCAACCCGAAGACAGTGGTCTAGTGAGTCTCGTGAAGGCTTCGCTTGCAGAATGAGGCCTTGGTTTCTTAGGGTTCTAGGGTTTGCGCCAAACCTAGGGTTTAAGGGTTTTCGGGCTTTAGGGCGTCAGGGTTTCAGGGTGGTAGGGTTTTAGGGCTTTGGGGCTTAGGGCTTTGGGGCTTAGGGCTTTGGGGCTTAGGGAAGGTCTTGAGAGGGATTTCGGACTATTGGCTGAAAGGGTTGCGGAATTCAAGGTTCAAGGCCCGGATTCTAGAAAAGACGTTCTGAGCCATCCTACAAGTATGAACAAAGCGGCCCACGCAAAGAGAACCCACCTGAGCCACTCTCTCGGATTACGGCTCAGGAGTTTGAGCTTAAACCTTACGAGATGGCGCGCCATCCCACACAGCTCCACGCCCCGCCCCCGGAGCCCCACTGAACTCTCCACCCTCTCCTCACCCAAACATCACTAACCGAGGCCCGCGCATGATGGTGAGACGTTCAGGAAGCTGCTCAGGACCAGCCTATGCCAAGGATGTCCACCCCCCAAAAAAGAGGCCCTAAACCCGAAACCCCAAGAGGAACCTCCCCAGGTTAGAACGGGCCGCGGGAGCCATGCTAAGCCGCAACAATGGGCCCTCACACCCTTCAGTGGCTTAGTAAGGGGCTTCTTTTGAGAGAAACATACTACGATAAGAAACCCCAAAAAGGGCCCACAATTTAGAAACCCCGCAACATGAAAAAGGTGCTTCCTTACAAACCTCGCACCGGTAGAAGGCGGTCGCGAGTGACACCAAGCTCGGGGCGAAAACGGAGCCCCGCGCCCAAACTCGGGTGGCTCGTCCTGGCGGGGCTTTAGGACTCAAGTGTCGGGTTGAAAGGTTCGGGGACGGCATTTGGCATGAGACCCTACTAAGCTCTCGCACGAGCGCGCGTGCTAGAACTAGCAGCAGAATCCCAAGAGTCCCCAGTCGCCGAATGTATCTTACCAACAATGTTGGGAGGCGTTAGCTGCTTGTCGTTGCGATTGCTTCCTCCGGAGCTGCCAAACTCTTACCTTAACGTCCACAGCAAAAACGCTTCGGCTGCTTGCTATTCTAAACTAGGGTCCCCCGAGACCCTTCATAAAAAGAGAGCCCTCACAAAAGAACACTGCGACTTTGGATTTGCGCATCTATACATATATATATATATACACACATATACCCATTTGTACATATATATATAAGAAGAATACATAATATATACACGCACTTGTATATTCTTTATATATACACGGATTTGTAGCAGCTAGGGAGAACAGGTACAGGTACAGATACAGGTATAGATGGCGAGCAGCCCCGGCCGTTCTTGCAAAAGGTTGTCGCCCTGTCCTGCTCCGCCGACTGCTCTACCTGGGCCTCGGCCCAGACATATCTAAGGGTAGCTCCATGGTCCCTTACCTCCTCTAAAGGGTTCTGTAGTCTCGGCCCTTGGGATTTCTTGGACATATGATGGGTGTATAGGGGTATATAAGGGGCCCCGATTTAAAGGGCCCATGTTAAGGAACAAAGGGCCTACAGGCCTAAGGGTCTAGGGTTTGGGGTTGTTGGGCTGTTTGGCCTTTGGGTTTATAGACCCAGGGGCTGGAAGTTGAGGTTGGATGGGTTTGCTTAAGGACACCCAAAAAAAACAAAGATTATCGTTCATATGTGAGCACAACTGCAACGACCACTCTGCTTTGCAAGGCTTGCTTCAGGTAGTCCAAGTTGGGAGCAGTCGGGGGTTTAGGGTGGAGGGGTTTGGGGTATTTCAGGTTTTTAAGGCTGAGAGTCGCAAGGGTTCGAAAGGTTTAGGGTTTAGGGTTTAGGGTTTAGCGTTTAGGGTTTAGGGTTTAGGGTTTAGGGTTTGGGGTTTGGGGTTTAGGGTTTAGGGTTTAGGGTTTAGGGTTTAGGGTTCAGGGTTTAGGGTTTAGGGTTTAGGGTTTGAACTTGAAGTCTTTCGGCATGTCATGTTGGCGAAGCCCTCCATGCAGACCCTACCTTAAACGCCCTGCAAACCCCTAGAACCTCAGCGCTTGAACCTGACAAACCCTGGCTCCAAGCCCTAAACCCCGAATCCCTGAACTGTGAAAAGCACACAACCCTAAGCGCAAAACACAACCCTAGCTCTGGGGTCAGGAAAAACCTGAAGTGTGAGATGTTTTGAACTCGAAAGCACACCCTCAGCCCCTGGCACCCCCGCCCACCCCCCCCCGACCGCGCCGCCGCGCCGCCATTCGGGTTCGGGTCTTAGGTTGTTTGTATCTTCAATAGCTTCAATAGCTTCACTTCCAGCCCTCTTGCCCTTAAGTTCTAAACCCTCATAAACCCTAAGTCCTGAAGAGAACCAGGAATGGGGAATGGAAGGAACGATGCCCATGTCCAACGTGCAAGCAAATCGGCAATTCTGTGGCACGTCTGAGCTTCGAACGTAACCCCTCAAGCCTAAACCCTAGGGTTTAGGGTTTAGGGTTTAGGGTTTAGGGTTTAGGGTTGAGGGTTGAGGGTTTAGGGTTTAGCGTTTAGGGTGGGATCTGTTTCATTTTGTGCGCGGCTCACCTGTCTCGTCTTTGGTGAGAACCCTGTTCGCTCGAGCAATGACCAACACTTGGCAGTACCGCAGCTCCTGCACTATGTGGGAACGCCCTTAAAACCCTCTGGAACATATTCCCGAATATGATCCTCTTCAACCCAATAAGGGTTTAGGGTTTAGGGTTTAGGGTTCAGGGTTTTGAACATGATCCTCTTAATTAAACCCAATAAGGGAAAATAAAATAAATGTCCCCAGGGCCTACCTAGACCATGTGGGAAGCTCCCTTCAGAACGTTGGTCACCGCTCTCCTGGCCCACCTAGGCGCAAGACTCAGATGTCCCGATGCGCTTTTCGCGCCGTCGCTGCTACAGCTGCTCTGTGAGCCTTCAATCCCTAAACCCGAAACCCTAAACCCTAGACCCTAAACCCTCTACCCTAAACCCTAACTCTCATCCAAAAGCTCGGCAAAGCCCGAAGCCCAAAACCTGGCCCGTGTAATGAACAGCCCCATACCTGAAGCACTGATCCAACCCTCCTACAGTCTCACTGCTGCTCCTTGAGCTTGGCAATCTTCTCCTTATTGCAGGGCGGCAGAAACCCTAAGCCCCCGACGACCCCTCAGAACCCCAAATTCAAACCTGCATACATACCCACAGCCCCCGATCCTCCAGCGCCCTTCTTGATGAATCGGCGCCGGCATGTCTGAAATTCACCAACCCCCTAAGCCCTAAGCCCTAAACCCCCAACCCCCTAGTCTCCGACTTGGAGACCACGGTCTTGAGGTTTGGGGTTTCGGGGCAGGCTTGTGTTTAGAACTCAAGGGGGTTTTGGGTTTGGGGTTGGGGTTTAGATCTTCTCGGGCGTCAAGCTGTCGGGTTTTCGACCATGTTGGGCTTTGAGGTTCCTGAACCTGAAATCCTGGTTGGGTTTAGGGTTTAGGGTTTAGGGTTTAGGGTTTAGGGTTTAGGGTTTAGGGTTTAGGGTTTAGGGTTTAGGGTTTAGGGTTTAGGGTTTAGGGTTTAGGGTTTAGGGTTTAGGGTTTAGGGTTTCGGGTTTCGGGTTTCGGGTTTAGGGTTTAGGGTTTAGGGTTTAGGGTTTAGGGTTTAGGGTTCAGGGTTTAGGGTTTAGGGTTTAGGGTTTAGGGTTTAGGGCTACTCCCCAATCTACCCCAAGCCCAGTTCTTCCCAAACCGACCTCAAACCTTGCAGAGGAGATGCTGCCGTGTCGTCTAGCTCCTGCCGTCGGATGTATTTAGGGTTTAGGGTTTAGGGTTTTAGGGCTTAGGGCTTTTAAGCTGCCAATCTGAATCCGCGCCCGCGTAAGCACAATTTCACTCATGAAGTAGGACCTTCATTCATTGTTCGTATCCCCCACAGGACACCCGGTATACTCTCGCCCCAAAAACAAAAAATAAATACATATATTTCAAGGAACTCTACATACACCAATGTGGTTGTTGAAGACCCTAACTCACGCAGCCCACGTGGTGGTTGACCAGCCTTCGCTACTGGGCCATTCTTGGCACCCTGACCTCTAAGTACTCATCCCACCTCGTCCCCTCCCCCCCCCCCCCCCCCCCCCCCCCCCCCCGAGCCGAATTCAAGGGCTCTCAAACGTGGGTTGGTTGGTGGCTGCATGGAAGTGCCTAAGTCTTAAGCTATGCTTCAAGGCGAATTTATCGTGCAAATGACGCCTGCTATACTATACAGGGCTGTCGATTCGAGGGCATCCAACACTAGGACCGACGCCTTTCACCCTAAACACTAAAGCCTAAACCGTAAGCATTGAGGTCCTTAAGGTTAAGAACTCTTAAGCCCCGAACCCCTGAAGCCCTAAACCCCTAAAGCCCCAAAGCCCCAAAGCCCCAAAGCCCCACCCTAAACACCAAACCCCTAAACCCTATATAAACCCCTAGACCCAAAAACCTAAACCCCAAGCAACTCGGCACCTTGACCAAGGGCTCGAGCTTATCGTCCGGCATCCACGTGATGCCACCCTCCTTCACAATGACGACCTGCAGGGTCCCAAACCCAACATCCCAAAGACCTCAGATTTAGGGTTTAGGGTTTAAGGGTTAAGGGTTAAGGGTTTAGGGTTTAGGGCTTAGGGCTTAGGGTTAGGGTTGTTGACATTTTGCAATGATTCTCCCATTGAGAACGGTGTAGGAGCAGGCTCCCACGTGGAGAAAGACGTGGCAATTTCAAAATGCTGTCCCAAGACAACCCAGAGAGGCTGGTCCTGAACAACGCAGTTCTCAAGTCCTTCAATGGCCCAATCCTAACCCTAAACCCTAAACCCTCAACCCTAAACCCTAAACCCTAAACCCACGGACTACGTAAGCTTTTGTTCGCGTTCAGCTTAAACCGCCCTTCTTTCGCAGAAGCTGACGCATCACTCGCTTTTTTCTGGCGGATTTCAGGAATTCAGCCCCCAAATGTCACTGTCACTGGCAAAGTGGGCCTCAATGTTCTTGCCAGAAGCCTCCGTCACCTCAGGGCATGGCCACGGGGGGAAGCTGAGGTGCTTACACCGAAAACCCCCCCGAGATGATTGTGTTTGGAGAGCTGGCCCCAGAGGTTCACTTCGCAGGACTTTGGAGCTTCCCGGTGCATGTAGCCAGGGATCCTATGCTTTCTTTTTGAGTTTAGGGTTCGGGGTTTAGGGTTCGAGGCTTCGGGTTGTGTTGCCAAGGCTTGTCTTTGACGAGAAGAGTGAGTGTCAAGGGCTTCGGATCCAGTCTTCAGGGCCTAGGCTCGTACAACCCCCCTTGGAACCATGGCCGCCCAGCGAACAACCTCATGAAACAAACGCTTCCCAAAGAAGCACTAAACCCTACGCCGTAAACCCTAAGCCCGAAACTCCCCGCCAAAAAAAAAAATTAAACCGACGCCATCAACCCTCAAAGCCGTAACCCCGTCAGGGGCTTTGCGCGGGTTTGGGGTTTAGGGCTTGTGGGGCTTATGGCTTGTTTGGGGCTTATAGGGTCTATGGGCTTATAGGCTTTATAGGGCTTATAGGGCTTTCGGCCGATCGGGTTGAGGGCCCAGAGTCTCCCCAAAGGTGCCTCGAGCAAGCCCTTCAGCGCCAGCCGGATCGTGGCATCCTCGTGGGCATGGCAAGTGTGCAATGAAGTGGACCACAAGTATGGCACACAAAAGCCTACTACCCCTCAAGCCGCAGTCCTGAACACATAAGCCTACTACCGAACTCTAAATCCTGAAGCTTATGCCCTAAGTATAGCTAGCAGCTAGCAATGAAGTTCAATGAAACTTCACGGAAGCCTAAGCCCAGAGCGGCGTCGGGACTTTGTCCAATTTGGGGCTCTGTTCTTCAGGTTTGTGTCTAGGGCTTAGGGCTCTTGGGGTTTAGGACGTCATGTTCATGAGAGGGTTACAACGAGGAGATAGTATGGCGACTTGTTTTTGGGATACTGAGCAGGTTTTGCAACACATCCCCATCCCAGTCCTCGTCCAAATCCTCCTTGTACCTTGGTGATCTGAGTGTATCGAGGGTGGATTATACAGGGTTTACGGGGTTAGGGCCCACAGAGTTTGTAAAGCTGTCAATCCGCATCCTAAACCCCAGGCCCTAAGCCCTAAGCCCTAAGCCCTAAGCCCTAAGCCCTAAACCCTAAACCCTAAACCCTAAACCACAGACCCTAAACCCTAAACCCTATGGTATGGGCATCATGGCTCGGAAGGTTAAACTCAGGGCAACTTCAAGGTCGCAGGACCCCCAGTTCAGGGATGAACACGGTAGTTCTCCTAAGGGTTTAGGGTTTAGGGCTTAGGGTTTAGGGTTTAGGGTTTAGGGCTTAGGGTTGATAATTCCCTAAACCCTAAACCCTAAACCCGAAACACCCTACCAGGGTAGATCTCTAAATTTCGGATCCCTTTTGTGGGGTCCTATGTATAGTAGGGCAACTTATGCAAAGGACTCCCCACAAGGGACCGGGGCTTTAACGTCCTTTTCATTTTATCTCAGGTTAGAATACAGGTTTAGGATTTAGGGTGGGTTTAGGGCACCCACCACCAGAGCTGTTGTTTGCAACTACCCGCGAACCTTCAAGAAGTCCCCAGGCAAAGAAAAGATCCCGGGGCCACACCCTGCAGCCTAAAACCTGGCCCTAAACCCTAAGCCTCCAAAGCCCGCAAACACCCAAAGCCCCTGAACCTCAGGACCCACGAACCCTAAACCCCAAACCCTAAACCCTAAACCCGAAACCCTAAACCCAAAAAAACCCAACCCTCAACCCTAAACTCATCGCAGGCAGGATGCTTCTTCTCCAGGAAGTCTGTGACGCTCTTGGAGTTCTTCCCAATGGCTGTGGCCTGGCGAACTGCCCCGAGGTTTAGGGGCCTTACATCGTGGGTTCCGGCTTCAGGGACTTAGGAGTTTAGAGCTTGCGCTAGGCGTATCTGGTCAGTTCTCCAAAATGTCTGCCCCCTCCTGTCAAGGCCCTATGCTAATCGGTTTGGTGTCATCGGGTTGAGGGTTTAAGGTTTTAGGGTCTTAGGGCTTGGGGCTTGGGGTTTCAAGAGCTAAGGCTACAGGGGGTTTAGGGTCCCTCAACCGAAACAACAGCCGGAGCTTACGAGGCCTTCCAGGCATAGTACGTTCCAGCCGGGTCCGTCTGATACCTTGGCTTTGTCTGCTTCAAGTCTTGGGGGCCTCAGGCGTTGAAGGCGTTTTAGTTGGCAGGGGGGCTCCACAGAATCCAGGGTCCAAGCAAAGGCTCAAGATCCGATCTGCTTCCATCTGCTTGAGGTTTAGGGTTGAGGATTTAGGGTTTAGGGATTGCTAAGAACGATTCTGGGAGGTTGGGGGAAGAGAGGGTTGAGGGTGTAGCATGGGAGCCCAAATTGCTAGTATTGTTATCTTCTATGAACCTCCGTATGTTGCAGTACAACACTCCTTTCCCTATTATGCAGTAAGGATGTGCAGGGTAACCTGAATCCTCTCATGCGGTTAATCCACAAACCCTCAACCCTCAACCCTCAACCCTAAACCCTAAACCCCAAACCCCAAACCCTAAACCCTAAACCCTAAACCCAAAAAAAAAACTAATGCCCCATGCTTCCAGGACGAGCGTCAGTGCTGGCTGGCCCTTATTGTCGAAACCGCCCAGGAGGGTGGAGATGCCGAAAGGCCGGACACCGCCTGCAGAAGGTCATAGGAGAAGGAGGGCCCCTCCAAAAGGTTTAGGGTTTAAGGTTTAGGGTTTAGGGTTTAGGGTTTAGGGTTTAGGGTTTAGGGTTTGCGGTTTAGGGTTAATTAGGTCAAGAAGGGTTCAGGGTTTATTAGGGTTAGGGTTTAGGGTTCAGGGTTTAAGGCCAAGGGTCCAGACTCCAGGCCATTGAGAGTCACCAGGGCATACGAAGGCTGACTAAGGCCCACTCAGGCCCCCTAAACCCTAAACCCTAAACCCTAAACCCTAAACCCTAAACCCTAAACCCTAAACCTCGATTCGGAGGGTCTCCTTGGGATCCTATGAGACTTGACCTTCAAAAAATCAGACCCTGGGATGCTTACGTTTTAGGGCTTGGGGTAAAACTCTCTGGAACAAGGTCCTGATATCACCAATAGGGGAAATGTAAATATCCCTAGCCCCTACCTGGACCTAGCGGTCAGGGGGCAAACTTACTTCTCTGCTTTGCCACCTTGTTCTAAGAATTCTACCCTAGAAGAAAGAACTTTCGGAAACATAGCAGCCAGAAATACCATCGTGGAGTCCAGGGGGGGAGGGCCTACAAGAAATGAGAAGGAAGCGGACTCAGAAGGTTCAGGCTCATGAACTCACAGCTGCACCCCCAACCCGACACCTCGAAAACCGTTTCGACCCCGCCCCATGCGGTCAGTTCTCGAAATCAGGGTCCCGGTGCAGGTCCCTGTTGTAAGGCCTCGGTGCGTGTACTTCTGCTGCGTCCGTGCGATGAACCTGCCAGAGAGTGAAGGGTTTAGGGTTTAGGGTACAGGGTCCATCAACGTAGGGGGGGGGGTCGTTTTTCCAGTGTTGGTGTCGCGTTACCGGTTTTTGTGCATTCGTGTCCGCCCATTGCTTACTTAAATTGAAGGGAGTACTGCGCATGTAGTCTATACACCAATATGTATATATATATATATATGTATATATATATATATATATATATGTATGTAGATATAGATAAATGAGTTTTTTTTTGGTAGCATATAGAGATATATAAGCCTTGAGATTCGCCCCAAGGACCGAAGCCCAAGCTCCGGCTGCACGGGAGTCCCTGTGGCCGGCCTGGCCACGTAGTCCACCGTCGGGGCATCCTCTCGGCCATTTGATTCGTTCTCTGAAGTAGGGGGACCCTGTTGCGGTCCCCTGCTTTTGGGGTTTAGGGTTAGGGTTGCCTGCAAACTGAGCCCCAAAGACACATCTTTAAGCGAAAAACCGCTAGGGTTAGAGAGGTTGAGCTCGATCTCTTCTCTTCCTAGGGGGCCACAGGGCTCAGGTCAAAACCTTTCCACTAAGCAAGCTTGAAGAATCCACGAAGCGCCAACAATGTCTGCGGTGGATTTTGTGTTGCGGAGGTGTCGGGGACAAGCGCTCCATCCTTCAGGCCACCTTGGGTTTAGGGTTTAGGGTTTAGGCTTTAGGGTTCAGGGTTCAGGGTTTAGGGTTTAGGGTTTAGGGTGTAGGGTTTAGGGTGTAGGGTTTAGGGTTTAGGGTGTAGAGTTTAGGGTTCAGGGTTTAGGGTTCAGGGTCCAGGGTTTAGGTTTTAGGGTTTAGGGCCAAGGATGCGATTCTGAGGCCACCCCGGCGGCCGCTGCGCAGGCTTTTTCTTCCGTCAGGCGCAGCAGGCTCGCAGAGGGGTCCTGGGCTCAAGCAGACGGGGTTTAGGGTTTGGGGTCTAGGGTTTGGGGTTTAGGGTTTAGGGTTTAGGGTTTAGGAGGGAATAGAAGGTTCATGCTGGGATGTTGCCCATTGTACTAACAGTCCTCCATATGGATTATAAGAGGAGGTACTAGCATCCCTGTTAAGGACTGTTAGTATAAGGGGGGACATCCCAAGGCAAGGGTAGTTGAAAGCAGGTTCTAAGTCCCTGAATTCAGAATGTAGTTATAAGTTACCTTCTGTAGAATGCTTGCCCCTACCCCGTGAACCAAAGCCTCGTCTCGAACCCGGATGTGCCGGGAGAAATGGCCCTCTTCCACCCTATGTCTGCTCACGTACCCTAAACCCCTTTCCCCTAAAAACCTTCAAAACCCTGAACACCCTCAAAAACCCAAAAAAAGCCTCAGCCCTCAACCCTAAAGACCCAAAGTAAAAAAATGCAAAATACAATAGCTGATTTGAAATTAAAGATAGCAGTCATGATGATAACAATGACAGTCATAACAAGGATCATAATACTAATCATAACACGAATCATAATAATAATCGAAATTTAAATAATAATAATAAATAATAATAATAACAAGCATAATAATAATAATCCTAGTAATAAAAATAATCATAATAATAGTGATAATAAGGATGACAATAATCATAGCAATAACAATAACAACAACAATAACAACAACAATAACAATAACAATAACAACAGCAACAACAACAACAATAACAATAACAGTAACAATAACAATAACAATAACAATAACAGTAGTAGTAGCAGCATCAGCAGCAGGAGTAGTAGCAGTAATAATCATAGTACTAGTAGTAGTAGTAGTAGTAGTAGTAGTAGTAGTAGTAGTAGTAGTAGTAGTAGTAGTAGTAGTAGTAGTAGTAGTAGTAGTAGTAGTAGTAGTAGTAGTAGTAGTAGTAGTAGTAGTAGTAGTAGTAGTAGTAGTAGTAGTAGTAGTAGTAGTAGTAGTAGTAGTAGTAGTAGTAGTAGCAATAGCACCAGCAGCAGCAGCAGCAGGAGGAGGAGGAGGAGGAGGAGGAGGAGTAATCATCATCATAATAATACTAATCGAAATACAAATCATAATAGTAACATGCTAAGAATATAAATAGAAATAATAATAACAATAATGTTAATGATAATACTCATCATAAAATAACCATCAGAATGATGACAATAATACAGGCCAGGCGGCGGCTCAGCCCTCAGCCTTGGCCTCGTCGTGCAGGCGCCAGCCAATCCACTCCAGAATCTGGAGGACCTCCGGGGTTTAGGGTTTAGGGTTAGGGTTTAGGGCTTAGGGTTTAGGGTTTAGGGCTTAGGGCTTAGGGCTTAGGGCTTAGGGTTTAGGGTTTAGGGTTTAGGGTTTAGGGTTTAGGGTTTAGGGTTTAGGGTTTAGGGTTTAGGGTTTAGGGTTTAGGGTTTAGGGTTTAGGGCGTCGAGTCCCACTACCTAAACCCTAAACCCTAAACCCTAAACCCTAAACCCTACATCCTAAACCCTGCATCCTAAACCCTAAACCCGAAACCTTAAACCCTAAACCTAAACCCTAAACCCTAAACCCTAAACCACACCCTAAACCCTAGACTTAAACCCGAGACCTGAAACCCTAAAACCCACATCTTTGTGCCTTCTGGTGCCCGCGCTTGTCCAAAGCGGCCCTCGCCAACAGCTGCAAAGCGGAGCTCTCGTCGAGGTCTGTGGAGCCCTTGCGGATTCCAAGTTCGGGCGTTCTAGGGTTTAGGGTTCAGGGCTTCGGGTTTAGGGTTTAGGGTTTAGGGTTTTCGGTTTGTCGGGTTTTAGGGTTTAGGGTTTAAGGAAGGTGGTTCTGAGTTTCAGGGAATAGGATTTATTGTTCAGTTGGGATGCAGGGGCCAACCTGCCAACAGTGCTCGAAGCTTCACGGATAATTGCAAGTGGGGTTATACGTAAGGTAACCCAGCTGACAACCTTGATTCAGGTACTTCTAATCCTACTTCTAACTACCCACGAACCTTCAAGCCTTAAACCCTAAACCCTAAACCTTAAACCCTAACCCTAAACCCTAAACCCTAAACCCTAAACCCTAAACCCTAAACCCTAAACCCTAAGGGGTCTCCGCAGCGCTTTGGTTAGGGTCTCGATCTTGACCAGTCACTGTTGGGGCCGCGACTGCGAAACTAAAAGGGTTTGGGGGTTTCCGGGTTTAAGTAGGGCCGTCGGGGCTTGGGGAGTTCCTAAACCCTGAGCCCTAAGCCCCAGTGTTGGGTACCCCCTAAACCCTAAACCCTAAACCCGAAACCACCCTAAACCCTAAACCCCAAACCGCGGGGATGCTTGGGGTTTAGGGTTTAGGGTTTATATCTGCTCGTAGGCGCCACACGTTCAGCCCACCGGGCCTTCGCCACCACCCACCATCCCAGTGTCTCATGTCCAGACACCTCCCAGAGGCTGCATCTTTAAGAGACATCCAGGCCCTAAACCCTAAACCCTAAACCCTAAACGCTGCCCTGAACCCAGAACCCGGAACCCGAAACCCTAACCCTAACTTCAAGGCTTAGCGAGTCCCCGGCATGAAGGGAAACTTGAAGATCAGGAAGCTTCGGGTTTAGGGTTTAGGGTTTAGGGTTCAGGGCTCAGGGTTTAGGGTTTAGGGTTCAGGGTTTAGGTTTTGGGTTTCGGGTTTAAGGTTTAGAGTGTGGGGCTCGGAAGGTTCTGTTGTTCAACGGTTTGCATCAGATGCTGGGATCGATCCGGGTTTGGCAGCATCCTTCAGCTATCGTTCTCCCTCTCACCCGCAAAACCCATGGCACCCTAAACACCTCTAAGCCCCTAAACCCGCCTAGACTCCCCTAGACCCCCTGGACCCCTAAACCCGAAACCCTAAACCCTAACCCTAAACCCTAAACCCTAAACCCTAAACCCTAACCCTAAACCCTAAACCCTAAACCCTAAACCCTAAACCCCGAACCCCGAACCCCGAACCCTAACCTAAGCTTATTCGAAGCCTGGAGTTGGGATACGTCGAAGCTTTGTTCGAACAGCGTGCGCCGCGGGAAGACGATCACCTGCCTTGGCCAAGAACAGCATCGGGCAGGTGAAGGGTTTCGGGGTTCGGGCTTCAGCGATTCCGGGGCGTCAGGGCTTAGGGTTTAGGGTTTAGGGTAATAGGGTTTAGGCTTGAGGGTATAGGGTTTAGGACTTAGGGTTTACGGTTTAGGGCTTAGCATTTAGGGCTTAGCTTTGGGGTTGAGGTCCCCGGGCGGGACTGTGCCTCGACCCTCGTACCTGTGACTTTTACCCCCCTGGTTCTTCGTAGGGAATGAGGGAATGGGGATCCCTACATTTTCCCTTTAAGGGATGCTGTCTTGGGCAATACATATACCCTGTAAGGGAGGGCCCCATATATACCCTTTGAGGGATTCTGTATAGGGCCCTATTTTCACCCTTGAAGGGGTTCTGTATAGGGCCCTATGTTTTTCCCTTTAAGGGATTAGTAGAGGAGCCTATATATACCCTTTAAGGGATGAGTAGAGGGCCCTATATATACCCTTTAAGGGATTCTATTAGGGTACGTCTTTCCCTCATTCCCTACTAAGACCGGCCAGATTTAAGCTCTACTTACTCACGCAGTGTCTCGAACTCGTCTAAGGGCAGTTGCATGATCCCTTAGTATGAGCCCTTTTTTGGGGGACCTCTTATTGTAGCCAAGTCACTCTCAGCCCAGATCAATTACGGTGGAACTTTGTGTTAAGAAATTTTTTGAAGCAAGAAATTAGACTCTCGAATTGAGAAAAATAATTATATTCAGAGTCTGAATCGCAACCCAAACGTAATTACAAATTGAATGGCCTTTTTGCAAGGCTCCAGCCCTCCAGCCCTCCAGCCCTCCAGCCCCTCCAGCCCTCCAGCCCTCCAGCCCTCCAGCCCTCCGGCCCTCCAGCCCTCCAGCCACTCCAGCTCTCCAGCCCTCCAGCCCTCCAGCCCTCCAGCCCTCCAGCCCTCCAGCCCGGAGCCTTCCAGCCCTCCAGCCCTCCAGCCCTCCATAATTAAGCCCTCCAGCCCTCCAGCTGGTTCCAGCCCTCCAGCCCTCCAGCCCTCCAGCCCTCCAGCCCTCCAGCCCTCCAGGATTAAGCCCTCCAGCCCTCCCAGCGAGCTGGAGGGCTTAATCCTGGAGGGCTGGAGGGCTGGAGGGCTGGAGGGCTTGGAGGGCTTAATCCTTGAGGGCTGGGAGGGCTGGAGGGCTGGAGGGCTGGAGGGCTGGGCTGGAGGGCTGGAGGGCTGGAGGGCTGGAGGGCTGGAGGGCTGGAGGGGTGGAGGGCTGGAGGGCTGGAGGGCTGGAGGGCTGGAGGGCTGGAGGGCTGGAGGGCTGGAGGGCTGGAGGGCTGGAGGGCTGGAGGGCTGGAGGGCTGGAGGGCTGGAGGGCTGGAGGGCTGGAGGGCTGGAGGGCTGGAGGGCTGGAGGGCTGGAGGGCTGGAGGGCTGGAGGGCTGGAGGGCTGCTGGAGGGCTGGAGGGCTTAATCCTGGAGGGCTGGAGGGCTGGAGGGCTGGAGGGCTGGAGGGCTGGAGGGCTGGAGGGCTGGAGGGCTGGAGGGCTGGAGAAAGCAAAGGGTTGGTCAGGTTGAATAAGAAATGTTTTCAAGACTCTCGCCTCAAATCTACCTTTCTTAATACATCTGCCTGGTTAAGAAATGTCCCAGACTCTGGTGGACCTTCGAACCTTTCTTATCATAAGTTTTGACCGTAGTCAAGTTCTTCGGTGGCAAGTCATGCGGCATGCGTTCTTGGGACCCCAAAACACCCTAAACCCTAAACCCTAAAAGCTCGGTTGCTCTTCCGGGAGCTTGACTATTCGGGGGCAGGCCTGCGCCCCAGGTTCATCAAGACATTGTGCGCCATGTCCATGACCTCCGGCCATCAGGGTTTGGGGTTTAGGGTTTAGGGTTTAGGGTTCAGGGTTCAGGGTTTAGGGTTTAGGGTTTAGGGTCTTGGGGTTCAGGGTTTAGGGTTCAGGACTACTTGAAAGTTCAGGGGTACGTGTAGCGAACGGATAGCTCTTCGCAAGGTAACCTATCGTATAATCTTTTGCGAAGTACTTATAACCCTACTTATAACTCCCCACGAACCTTCAAACATGGCCTGCAAAACTTAAGAGCTCTGTGGTGGCTGTAGTGAGTTTTAGGATTTGGGGCCTAAGGGCTCAACCCAACTGCATCTTATCGCCAGAAGCCAGCAAACCTCTCTGGATCCGGGTGACAATTTAGCCCAGGGCTAAGGTTGCAGGGTTTAGGATTTGTGGCTAGAACCCCAGCCCTACGAAAAGCCTGACACCCCAAACATCCTAAACATCCTAAACCCAAAAAAAGCCCAAAACCCCAAGCCACAAATCCCAAATCATAAGCCCTAAACCTTATAAAGGCCGGTGGCCTCTTTATCTGCTACCCTCATACCTTAATGTAGCCCCTAGATATCCTAATATGAACCCCCTACAAAACAGAAACCCTTCTTGAAGAGACCACCGACCCTAAACCCCAAACCCCAAACACAGCGGAGGCGCCTGCAGCGCGGCCACGAAGCGGTGGACGAACTCAGCGAGGCGGTAGGCTACGAGGTTGGTGTCCCACTCAAGCACCTGGTGTGTTTTTCGGGCTTGTAAATTCTATAAAGTTTTGAGGGTGTTGAACTAAACTTGGGTCTTCTTCAGATTTAGGGTATAGAGCTCAGAGTGTTGTTTTTAAGAACTGGGAATTCGCAAGTAGACGCGCACTGATGCGACCAAGCCGTCTTTGTTTCTACCCCTTGAGGTGCTGCAACGAAACACGAGTCGATTTGGTGACCGATCCAACTTCAAGTAAGCCCCCAGGCCCTAAACCCTAAACCCTAAACCCTAAACCGCCCTAAACCCCCTGAACCTGCAACTTGAAGACCTTGCGCCGAGGTCGGCGGAATCCCAAACCCCCACGGGTTTAGGGTTTAGGGCTTAGGGTTGTAGGGTTTGGGGTAGCCGAATCCATGAAGACCCTCAAGTTAGTAAACCCTAAACCCTAACGGAAGGGGAAGCCGCGGGGCCTGCGTTTTTGCAAAGGATGGTGTGCAGATTCTGGGGTTTGATGTTAGGAAACCCTCAACATTGAATGAACAACTAATGTCATGAACTCCTCAACCATCTCAACCCGAAACCCTCCACCCTCAGCAAACCCAGAACAGTCGGGGAGGCCTCCCCATCCGTCCACGTGAACACCCAACCGACGAGAGGCCAACCTGTTGGGTCCGGGGTGTAGAGGGCTTCAAGGCCTTGGGGCTGTAGCCCTAAACCCTAAACTCTAGACCTTGAGGGATTTACTGTTTGGCATTTTCTGGGTCTTTTAGGGCGTTGGACATTCTGAAAGTTAAGGGTTTAGGGCTTCGGGTTTAGGGTTTAAGGTGTCCGGTCCGGAGGTGAGCGGTCAATTCAGTGCACCTGCTACGTCATGCAGAGCCGGGGGAACGAGTAGCGCAACCCAGTGGAAGGCTCTGCTTTGTGCATCCAGAGCAGGAAACTGGAGCACGTCTTGGTCCATGCTTTCCGCAAAGTGCCATACTTGGAGGTTCATGGCACCTAGTAACCTAGTAACCAACTATAGCTGTACTTACAACTGTACTCATAACCATATTAGGGCACTTAAGGGGCTTATAAAGTGGGCTATAAGTACAGTTATGATTGGTTAACAAGTACCAAGAACCTCCGAGTACTGCCTGCGATGCTTGAGGACTTCCCGCACTCGCGCAGTAGCGATGTCAAGGCCGGTCAAGCGCACCTGCACGCTTGAGGGCGTTGCTGGTCGCCCATGTTCCCAGAGGTACCCTAAACCCTAAATACTAAACCCTAAACCCTAATTTAATTTCATTCCACACCCTAACCCTAAACCCTAAACCCTGAACCCAGTGTGCGGCCTGCTCCTTGCGCACGGCCGGGGGTGTTAGGGTCTTAGGGTGAAGGGTTTAGGGTGCAATATAGGGGTCGGAATACTTACTAGTAGTATTCCTTTGGGTCCCTTTATAATTAGGCTATAATTACCCCCAAAAACCTCACTGTAATTATTCAGGCCCCTATCTGATGTGTTCGAGTTTGGGGGCGCAAGATCCAGGTTTAGGGTGTAACATCGGGTTGCTTTAGAACGTTCGGGTTTAGCGTTTAAGGTCTGTTGCTTGTTTTCTTCTGGATTTCTCTCTTCATAGCATTTGTTTCATACTTCTTTCTTCCTTGCCTTCATTGTCTCAACTCCTCAATTTCTAGGGGCCAAGACCCACAAAAGCAAAAATGGGAAGAACAACAGATGCGGCACCCCTTCCTACCAAACCCTAAACCCTAAACCCTAAACCCTAAACCCTAAACCCTACACCCTGAACCTTGAACCCTAAACCCTAAACCCTAAACCCTAAACCCTACACGTGCCTAAGCCCTAAAGGATAAGAAACAAGCACGGGCCTTTGGGCCCCCCACGGGTGCGGGACAAAGACACCTTGGCCAAACCGGCTTTTCAGGGGGTTCAAGGGGTGTAGGGTTTAGAGTTTAGTTAGAGTTTAGAGTTTAGAGTTTAGAGTTTAGAGTTTAGAGTTTAGAGTTTAGAGTTTAGAGTTTAGAGATTAGAGTTTAGAGTTTAGAGTTTAGAGTTTAGAGTTTAGAGGTTTAGAGTTTAGAGTTTAGGGTTTAGGGTTTAGGGTTTAGGGTTTAGGGTTTAGGGTTTAGGGTTTAGGGTTTAGGGTTTAGGGTTTAGGGTTTAGGGTTTAGGTTCAGGGTCTAGCTTGTGGGGGTTCAGGGGGTTTCGGGTTTAAGGTCCTTATGAGGGTTTATAAGGGCTTGAAAAATGATGGGGGCTTGTACGGATCTAAACTCTAGGCCGTTTAGGGCTTGTTATTCTACGGGTTGACTTGGCTTGTGAAGCCTGTCAGGGCTTAAATTACAAAGGCCATGGCTTACTTGAAAGCTCATGGATAGTTATAAGTGAGGCTATAAGTACCCTAACTTACGTAAGGTTATAATACAAGTTACCTTACTTACAGCCCTACTTATGACTGCCCATGAACCTCCCAGTCGGGTTTCAGGGCCTTTAGGGATTCATCCTTCAGGATTGGGGGTTTAGGGTTTAGGGGTTAGGGTTTAGGGTTTAGCGTTTAGGGTTTAGGGTGTAGGGTTTAGGGGATTAGGAGAATCAAGGCTTCTCAGAACTTCCCCTCCCTACACGTTCGACCCGAAACCCCTCCTAACCCCCAAACAAACAAACCCCAAACCCCAAAAACCCCAAACCCCTAGCCCCAAGCCCTAAACCCTAAACCCGCAAACCCTAAGCCCTAAACCCTAAACCCAAAACCCTGAACCCTCAACCCTTGACCCCAAGCTCTCAAATGGCTGTCGCGGTGCGGGACCACGGGCCTCTGCGGCGGGCAGGAGGCCCGCGGAGCGCGCGTGCGCCTCTTTGTGGCGGGTTTAGGGTTTAGGGTTTAGGGTTTAGGGTTTGCGTTTAGGGCCCGCGCAATAGAGATCATGGATTTTGGTTCCCGATGGATCCCTTGAAAGGTTGTTTCGGATGGCGTAGAGGAGATGCAAAGTAATTACATGGTTCTTAAGGGAGGGACCCTAAACCCTAAACCCAAAACCCAAAACCCTCAACCCTAAAACGGGGTTCAAGGAGGGTAGGTACCTAGGGAACCTTAGGCAAGCTTAGGGAGCCTTTAGGGAGTAGTGGGGGAGTATTAGGGCACCTTGGGTTGCATACCTCCCTTGAACCCCCTCGCTTAAGAACCCTGTAAAGTAGTTGCCGAGGGTTTAGGGTTTAGGATTTAAGGGTTAAGGGTTTAGGGTTTAGGGTTTAGGGTTTAGGATTTAGGGTTTAAGGTTTAGGGTTGAGGGTTTAGGGTTTAGGGTTTTGTTGGCTGGTGGAGGGCCTGTCTATACTGTTGCTTTGGGGGGAGAAGAGGTAAGCGGAATCTGCCGATGACTGGGCCCTAAACCCTAAACCCTAAACCCAAACCCTAAACCTCTCTTTCATATATAATTTAAATGTTAAGGAGTTACTGGGCAAGGTCGCCGTTTTACTGGGCAAGGTCGCCGTTTTACTGGGCAAGGTCGCCGTTTTACTGGGCAAGGTCGCCGTTTTGCTGGGCAAGGTCGCCGTTTTACTGGGCAAGGTCGCCGTTTAAATGGGCAAGGTCGCTGTTTTACTGGGCAAGGTCGCCGTTTTACTGGGCAAGGTCGCCGTTTTACTGGGCAAGGTCGCCGTTTTACTGGGCAAGGTCGCCGTTTTACTGGGCAAGGTCGCCGTTTTACTGGGCAAGGTCGCTGTTTTACTGGGCAAGGTCGCCGTTTTACTGGGCAAGGTCGCCGTTTTATTGGGCAAGGTCGCCGTTTTACTGGGCAAGGTCGCTGTTTTGCTGGGCAAGGTCGCCGTTTTATTGGGCATGGGCAAGGTCGTTCTATAAGTAAAATATTTTCTTAATGTTGTGGGATTCTTTGGGCGGGTGGGTATTTTCCTGGAGTAATTGCTTGACTAGTGAATGCTTGGACTTGAGATGCTGAACCCTAAACCCGAAACCCTAAACGCTAAACCCTAAACCCTAAACCCTAAACCCTAAACCCTAAACCCTAAACCTAAACCCTAAACCCTAGACCCTAGACCCTAGACCCTGGATCCTAGACCCTCGCTGGCGGACTGGCCCTCGGATTCGCGGGTGAACATTATGATCATGTGGGCGAACGAACACAATGGCCCCTTCTCCCGGTTTAGGGTTTAGGGTTTAGGGTTTAGGGTTTAGGGTTTAGGGTTTAGGGTTTAGGGTTTAGGGTTTAGGGTTTAGGGTTTAGGGTTTAGGGTTTAGGGTTTAGGGTTTAGGGCTTAGGGTTTTTGATTCGATTCCAGGAACGAGCTCTGAAAAGGCAGAGGCCTCTGGGGACTTCTTGAAACCCTCAAACCCAAAGCCTTGAAACCCCCGCCCCCCCACACCCGAAGCCCTAAGCCCTGCGCCCCAAAATCTAAACCCTAAACCCTAAACCCTAAGCCCTAAACCCTAAACCCTAAACCCTAAACCTCCCAAGAAGCCTGCAAGCCTCAACCCATTTCATGTCCAGGTCCCTTGTCTAGGGAACCCAAAGCTCCTGAAAGCCCCAAAAACCCGAGTTCCCCCTTTCAGCGTTTGGGTAGGGTTCAGGGTTTAGGGTTTAGGGTTTAGGGTTTAGGGTTTAGGGTTTAGGGTTTAGGGTTTAGGGTTTAGGGTTTAGGGTTTAGGGTTCAGGGTTCAGGGTTCAGGGTTCAGGGTTCAGGGTTCAGGGTTCAGGGTTCAGGATTCAGGGCCTGGGGTTTAGGGTTAGCCTGTACGGAGTAGAGTTTCTGTGGAGGTTTTGGCGGGTACATATAGGCTTTCTTATACAGGTTGATGTTCGTACATATGTTGGGCGTTTGGAGGATGCTAGCAATGAAAAAGTAGAGAACTACTTAAAGGTTCATGGGTAGTTCGAAGGAAGTAAGGCAACCTATATTATATCCTTACCCTAAACCCTAAACCCTAAACCCTAAACCCTAAACCCGAAACCCTAAACCCTAAACCCTAAACCCTAAACCCTAAAACCTAAAACCTAAACCCTAAACCCTAAACCCTAAACCCTAAACCCTAAACCCTAAACCCTAAACCCTAAACCCTAACTTAAAGCCCTACTTCTAACTACCCATCATGAACCCTCAAGTAGCATGCCCACCAATTCCGGCCTCATTCTCTGTTTCAAGGGGAAACCCACACTGCCATCCCCTAAACCCCTATCGAACTACACCCTACACCTGAAACCCTAAACCCTGAACCCTGAACCCTAACCCCGAACCCTAACGCCCTAGACAGGCTCTACACCTAGAACCCTAGGACCCCAAAAACTCCAAGTTCAGGCCAACACCGGCACGGGCACCTCGAAAGGAAAGACCCGGTCTCCGTCGCAGGAGCCCGCACAGAAGCCCTGGCAGCAAGAGTTGGGTTGTTTTAGGGGGGTTTGGGGGGTTTAGGGGTTCAGGGGGTTCAGGGGTTTAGGGGTTACGGTTTAGGCTTCGGGCTTGCAAGCGCAGACTTTTCGTGAATAACGGTTTAAGCAGAGCTCGGACATCCGGCCACTTTCAGTGGCGGAGAATCTTGGCGCTTGGTTCCCAAAGGGCGGCACATTTCGGAGTCTGACTGCGTCTGATGTCAAGCCGTCATGTGGCCTCTGAAAGCAAGCGAACAATCGCATCATTGCCAAGACTTGCTGCGAGGTGGAGAGCCGAGCGGCTTTTCTTGTCAAGTACATTGTCAGCCCTGGAAGCCAACAGCAGCACGACGGTGTCACTCCTGCCACGGACTGCCGCATGATGGAGTGCTGTCAGGCCAACGTCGTCAGCTAAGGCAAAATCAGCCCTTTCCTCTAGCAGAAGTCGGACGGCTTCATTGCTGCCATAAACCACTGCGCGATGGAGTGCTGACTGGCCTTCTCGGTCAACCGCGTGCTGATCGGCCCGAGCCTCCAAGAGCCAGTGAACAGCGCCTTCAGTGGCACTTGCGGCTGCACGATGGAGTGCTGTTTGGCCAGCATCGTCAGTCAAGTCTGGGTTAGCCAGCGCCGCCAGCAGCATGCGTACAGCTTGTGGCCTGCCGTTGGCTGCTGCGCGATGGAGTGCTGAATGGCCAACATTGTTCACCAATGCCACGTCAGCGCGAGCCTCTAACAGCAAGTGCACAGCCCCGTCATTACCACGAGCTGCGGCTCGAAGCAGGGCTGACTGCCCCTCATCGTCCACGGCATTCTGGTCAGCAAGAGCCTGCAACAGCAAGCGGAGAACGGCGTCGAAGTCAAGTACCGGTACCGGTGTTTGCGTGGTCGGCCTGGCGTGACTTCCCGGCCACCACCAGCCCTTTGCGGCGTGATGGAGAGCTGACTGCCCGGCATTGTCCGCGATATTCGTGTCAGCACGAGCCTGCAACAGCAAGCGAACAACATCTGTGAAGCCGTAGGCTGAGGCATGATGGAGTGCGGATTGGCCACTTGTGTCAGCCCAGTGCGTGTATGTGGCCCTAGCGGTCAACAGCAGGTTAACTGCTTCGTGCGTGTGGATACTGCGACGCATTGCTGCCACATGGAGTGCCGACTGGCCGTTGTGGTTGACTAGGTCACTGCAGGCTCGGGACTCCAGCAGCCGGCCGACAACGCTGGTGCTGCCACAGGCTGCTGCGACATGGAGCGGTGACTGGCCATGGGAGTCCAGAACATTCAGGTCAACTCCCGCCTCCAGCAAGAGGTCGAAGACCGTGTGTAAGGCATCTGCATGTCCGTGCTTCGCGAGCACGTGGAGCACGGTCTCACCAGACCTGTTGCAGCAGTTAGGATCCTGAGGACGCCGCAGAAGCTCTTCAAATGCTTCCGGGCCCCTACTGGCAGCCTTGGCCACGTTGAAAAACATGGTCACCTCTTCCGGGTCAACTTCAGCGAAGGGCAGCTTCACCAACTCCACATCAAGAGTGTCGAGTGGTTCATGCTCTTCCAAGCTCCTTTTCTCGTGCAGCAGGCGCTGCTGGAATCGCGACACGCCGCAGACTGAGCACAAGTGCCGCTTCAACCTGCGCACGTCAGATAGGTCTCCGGGGTATACTTCGCAGATCTTTTCCCCAGAAACTGCTGACCACACATTCAGCATGGCCTCAAGCAAGTTGCTTACTGCGGCAGGGTTCTCCAGTAACCCAGCATTAAACAGGGCGACCTTGATTTGGAACCCTAAACCCGAAACCCTAAACCCTGAACCCTTCTGACCCCGAAAACAAACATTCGTCTCCTGGGTAGTGCAGCAAAGCCAAATGCTTTCGGACAGCTTGTAGGCTCACGTAAACCCTTGAGGGTTTACCCAGATAGCCCAAAGTAGGTATTATCTACACCCTAGACCCTAGACCCTAAACCCTAAACCCCAATGTAGGTGTTTTGGTATACCTGGAGCCCTATTAGGGTTAGGGTTTAGGGTTCCCAAACCCCAAACCTGAACCCGGACACTTCTTTCCTGAACAACGGCTAAGGAGTTCCTGGTGAGTTGTTAAAGGCTAGGGTCCTTGGTTTAGGGTTTGGGCTTGGGGTTTATGGGGTTTAGTTGTGGGTCAGGAAAGGCCAAACCCTAAACCCTAAACCCCAAACCCTAAAACCCAAAACCCCTAAACCCTCCCTAAAACCCAAAACCCCTAAACCCTAAACCCTAACCCTAAACCCTAAAACCTAAACCCCAAAACCCTACACCCTAAGCCCCTAAACCGAAAACCCTAAACCCCCAAACCCCCAAACCCCTAAACCCAAAACCTGCAGATGAAGGTGGTTGACGGAAGCCCCAGCGCCGATCGAGTTGAAGGACAGCCAGAGCCTGCAGGAGGCCAGGGAAGTCTGGGACCTTGGGGTTTAGCGTTTAGGGTTTAGGGTTTAGGGTTTAGGGTTTAGGGTTTAGGGTTTAGGGTTTAGGGATTAGGGTTTCAGGTTTCAGCGTTTGGGGTTTGGGGGTTTAGGGTTTAGGGGTTTAGGGTTTAGGGTTAGGGGTTTAGGGTTGAGGGTTTCAGGGTTTCAGGGCAGGAGGCCAGGGAAGTCTGGGAATCGCTGCCCAGACAGAACATGCACTCCGTCATGCCTTCCGGCAACCCGTTGAGCCATGGTCCCACTGGCAGGCTTTCTGTTTTTGACCTGGTAATCCTTGGCCGATGCCTGCAATCCTCTGCAAATATCCCAAAAACGTTCGGCATTCCTTCCAGTGACAGTAAAATCCTTAAACCATATAAGCCCAGACAATTTCTTGCAAAAAAACAGACCAGACAAGAAGAGGGTTTCTGACATGTCGAAATTCACCAAAACGCTTCACATCCAGATCCAGACTGTGAGAACAGTGAACCTTTGGCAGTCACATTGTGCTTGCTGCATGTCTCCTTTAACCCTCCCTCCCGCTGAGCAACAAGTTTCTCCGGGCTGAGTGCATGCATCACAGCAGTCAGCTAGCTTAATTCGCCTCGGCCCGAGAGGCATCTAGAACAAGCAGAGCAGGATTTGGTCCCCTCCCAACCCGAAATTTTGCGTCCACCCCCCACCACCACCCCGCTTCCTTGCAGCATTCCACGCCACGAAGCTTTCCAGGCTTTGGGCCCCTCCCAACACAGACCACGCCAAAAAGCACAAAAAAAAAAACAAAACCTGTTTTGGCGCCTTTTCTGTCCACTGGCCTGGGATCCCTGAACCCCCTGACACACCCAAAAAGACTCCAACCCCTCCCGCCAGCTGCACCTTACCCCTCAACATCCCTCAATAGCGCCTCTCTTTTCGGCTTGCGAAGTGATGTCTCGCAGGAGAAAAGCTTGTAGGCCAGTGAGTAGCACGTCTGGGGTTGGCGCTGGCATTTCAGGCCACAGTATCCTTCCTGCGGACTCATCGACTGGCCAAACACCGTGTCAGCAGTCCAGAGGCGAATTCTTTCACAACACCCAAGCGAACTTGGCAACGTCAAGCTGGCAGAGAGTAAGTAGTTGGACGTCTTGTGATGTTGCTTAGAGCTTGATGCCTGCCTTCGGAAATAGAAGTCGGGTGCTGTGGAGGTCAGCTGGCCTTTGCTTGGCAGGCAATGCATCGCGACTCCCCTGATGCCCGCTTGTTGCGGTGGGTGCGCGGTGAGACTTGTAGGTGCGTTCCCCTTTAGCTCTCCTTGGTACAAGCCTTCAAGCCCCCAAACCCAACACGACCTTAAACCTCTACGCAGGGCTGCTCTCGACTTGTGTGCCCTCAATCCAGAATGAGGTAGGTCTCCTGACCAGTCACAGGGGCTGTTTCACAAGCTGCCCATTTTACAAGCAGCACCACTGCCAAGAGCATTTATCACTCGGACACATAAGCGAAGGCTTCAGAGCTAGTCGCAACCAACTCCTCGGGAATTGTCTGCATTACGGCTTCTGACCTTAACGACAGATAACTGCCGCAATGCAGTGCTCAATTGCTTTCACTTGACCTTCGTGAACCATGAGCCAAAAAACAACGCAACCTTGTATGGCCGAGAAACACCGCAGACTCACAGCCACGCTGATGCATGCTCCGAGCCTCCTAACGCGGAAATGCTTTGGAGGAACTACAGCGAATGTCTCCAACAGCGCCGACATTTTCGACGTGGCCGGTTCCCAAATGCGTTCACAAGTATTCCTTGTTGCTCCTGTTTTACTGTCCTTTAAGCTTTCAATGCAGACCAATTGGTGATCCTGCACGAAGCATCTTCTTGGAATCATCTTGGAATTCGCATTTCCACATCCTGAACTGTCTCATGTCCTCTGGCTCCAATTCGTCTAACGGTTGTTGCCTTGTTTTCCAGTCCGGGGTTTCCACGGCCCTTTCCTCCATTGCATAATACTGATATCTGGCAGTTTGCCTGCCTAATACCTGTGGGGGCTGAGAGTTTGACGCAGCGCACCTGCCCACGTCGGACTTGAACTGCGTGCTGTTGCTGCCCGCTTGAGATTCGAAGCTGTGTTGCGCGGGGGCACGGGTACAGATGCCCGCCGAAAGCTTGACTTTGCTATGTGGGTATGTTCGAGCGGGGATTTTGGGTTTAGGGTTTAGGGTTTAGGGTTTAGGGTTTAGGGTTTAGGGTTTAGGGTTTAGGTTTTAGGTTTTAGGGATTAGGATTTCAGGTTTCAGGGTTTGGGGCTTGGCCCCTAACCCTAAACCCTAAACCCTAAACCCCAAACCCTAAACCCTAAACCTCAAGGTCCCAGACTTCCCTGGCCTCCTGCCCTGAAACCCTGAAACCCTCAACCCTAAACATTTAACCCTAAACCCCTAAACCCTAAACCCTATTAGGGTTTAGGGTTTAGGGTTTAGGGTTTAGGGTTTAGGGTTTAGGGTTTAGGGTTTAGGGTTTAGGGTTTAGGGTTTAGGGTGTAGGTTTTAGGGTTTAGGGTTTAGGGTTTAGGGTTTAGGGTTTAGGGTTTAGGGTTTAGGGTTTAGGGTTTAGGGTTTAGGGTTTAGGGTTTAGGGTTTAGGGATTAGGGTCTCAGGTTTCAGGGCTTGGGGTTTGGGGGTTTAGGGTTAGGGGTTTAGGGTTTAGGGTTAAGGGTTCAGCAGCTCTGGGTCGAGCAATCTCTAGTAGAGCCGCTGTCTGGACTCTGGAAAAAACCCACCCACCCAGAGAATCCCAAAACATTAAGAAATATAAAGTTCACATTTTTCCTCAGCAAGCCCTGTCCTCCAACCTCATTTATTCATTCTGCTCGTGTTTTTTGTCATTATGCTTGGTTTCCATTCTGCTCGTATGCGTTTCTTTCTGCTCGTATTCATTCTGCTCGTGTTCGTTCTTTTTCTGATCTGCTCGTCTCGTGTTCGTTCTCGTTCTGCTCGTATTCATTCTGCTCGTATTCGTTTCGTTCTCTCTCTGCTCGATTTCAGTCCGCTCGTTTTCGTTGTTTTTCTTCTCGTATTCATTCTGTTCGTATTCGCTCTCTCTCTCTCTGCTCGATTTCAGTCTGCTCGTCTTCGTTGTCTCTCTGCTCGTAATCATTCTGCTCGTATTCGTTCTTTTTCTGCTCATATTCATTTTGCTCGTGTTCGTTCTCTTTCTGCTCGTATTCGTGCTTTTTCTGCACGCTCTCTGCTCGATTTCAGTCCGCTCGTTTTCGCTGTCTTTCTGCTCGTACTGAGTCTGCTCGTACTCATTCTCTTTCTGCTCGTATTCATTCTGCTCGTATTCGTTCTCTCTCTGTTCGACGTCAGTCTGCTCGTATTCGTTCTCTTTCTGCTCATATTCACTTTGCTCGTGTTCGTTTTCCCCGGTGACCCTGCCTATTTTTGGCCGTCTTGTTGGTTGTGTTTGGCACACTTTAAGCTGCCTGGCTTCTACATGGTTGCTTTCCAGTTAGTGCCCCGGTGACCTCGCCTCATGTTGGCTCCTGCTCGTAGGGTTTGATGAGAGGCCTAGAGGTTTGTGTATGTCCCCTCTCTTCGTGCTCGTAGGGTTTGTCGTATGTCCCTCCCTTCATGCTCGTAGGGTTTGATGAGAGGTCTACAGGTTTGTCGTACGTCCCCTCCCTTGTGCTCTTAGATTTTGTCGTATGTCGCCTCCCTTCGTGCTCGTCGGCTTTGTCGTATGTCCCTTTTCTTCTGCTTGCAGAGAATCCCAAAACATTGAGAAATGTACGGGTTTATTTTGGAGGTTTGTCGTATGTCCCCTCCCTTCGTGCTCCAACCCCAGAATGGGGGGTCCGGAAGTTGCTTTTCCCCACCCCACCCTCGGACCAACCAAGATGAGAAGGGGCTGCCGCGATGGACCCAGGTTTTCAAGCCCAGAATGGGGGTCTGGGCCAGAAGAGCTGGGAGGGGGGTGTTGGGGTGGGGGGGGGTGGGGGGGTGTGTTGGGGGGGGGGGGTGGGGGGGGGGGGGTGGGGGGGGGGGGGGGGGTGGGGGGGTGTGGGGGGGGGGGGGGTGGGGGGAGTGGGGGTGGGGGGGGGGGGGGGGGGGGGGGGGGGGGTGGGGGGGGTGGGGGGGGGTGGGGGGGGTGGAAAAAAGCCGTGGCCATTGGCAAAAAAAGCCGTGGCCATTGGCAAAAAAAGCCGTGGCCATTGGCAGAAAAGCCGTGGCCATTGGCAAAACAGCCGTGGCCATTGGCAAAAAAGCCGTGGCCATTGGCAAATGCCACTTGCCAATGTCCATGGCTTTTTTGCCAATGGCCACGTTCCCCATTAAGGTTGGGCCCCAACCTTAATCGGGAACGTGGCCATTGGCAAAAAAGCCGTGTTGGCAAAAAGCCCGAAAAGTTGCCAATGGCCACGGCTTTTTTGCCAATGGCCACGTTCCCCATTAAGGTTGGGGAGCATTTTGTGCGAATTGGGTTTGAAAAACCCATTTTGGCGACCAACCTTAATGACATTGGTGGCCATTGGCAAAAAAGCCGTGGCCATTGGCAACTTTCCCGTGGCCATTGGCGAATTTGCCAATGGCCACGGCTTTTTTGCCAATGGCCACGGCTTTTTTGCCAATGGCCACGGTTTTTTTGCCAATGGCCACGTTCCCCATTAAGGTTTAAATTATTATATGAAAGAGAGAGTTTAGGGTTGAGGGTTTCAGGGTTTCAGGGCAGGAGGCCAGGGAAGTCTGGGACCTTGGGGTTTAGGGTTTAGGGTTTAGGGTTTGGGGTTTAGGGTTTAGGGATTCAGGTTTCAGGGTTTGGGGTTTGGGGGTTTAGGGTTTAGGGGTTTAGGGTTTAGGGTTAAGGGTTTAGGGTTGAGGGTTTCAGGGTTTCAGGGCAGGAGGCCAGGGAAGCCTTCGGGTTTAGGGTTTAGGGTTTGGGGTTTAGGGTTTAGGGTTTAGGGTTTAGGGATTAGGGTTTAGGGTTTAGGGTTTAGGGTTTAGGGTTTAGGGTTTAGGGTTTAGGGTTTAGGGTTTAGGGGTTAGGGTTTCAGGTTTCAGGGTTTGGGGTTTGGGGGTTTAGGGTTTAGGGGTTTAGGGTTTAGGGTTAAGGGTTTAGGGTTTAGGGTTTCAGGGTTTCAGGGCAGGAGGCCAGGGAAGTCTGGGACCTTGGGGTTTAGGGTTTAGGGTTTGGGGTTTGGGGTTTAGGGTTTAGAGTTTAGGGTTCAGGGTGTAGGGTTTCGGGTTTGGGGTTTGGGGTTTCGGGGTTTAGGGGTTTAGGGGTTTAGGGGTTTAGGGTTTAGGGTTTAGGGTTTAGGGTTTCAGGGTTTCAGGGTTTCAGGGTTTCAGGGTTTCAGGGTTTCAGGGTTTCAGGGTTTCAGGGTTTCAGGGTTTCAGGGTTTTAGGGTTTCGGGCTTAAGGGTTTATATCGGGGGTATATAGGGTCTTTATAAACCCAAAATATATTAAACACAGGGCGTTTGTAGGGTAAACATTGGGGTTAAAGGGGTTAGGGTTCTAAAGTAGAATGAGTGTTCGGCACCCTTTGCCGACCCAACCTTACAGAGCCCAGCTATGAATTCTATTCTTATGCCACAGGTGTCTGCGGACAGTATTTGAACGCAGCTCATGCTCTCCACGATCCTGGAATCGATCCGTTGCAAAGCAAGAACCGTCACGCCGGACGAAGAGCCCTGCACGCTTGCACGCAATCACCCCTTAAACCCTGGATCCCCAAACCCAAAGCCCTAGCCCCGGAAGCCACAAACCCCCAACCCGCAAACCCTGAGCAGGACCAGCGGAGATGCCGTCGGAGAGCCTCTGGAACGATGGCTGCGCCCGCACGCGCTACAAGCGACAGTCAGGACGCTGACGCATTTTTTGAGCTGCTGCTGCGTCTCCGTGATTTACTGGTTGCGCGTCGGCCAGTCGATGGCGCGGTGAGCGCTTTTGTTACGAGGGCTGTCACCTCAAAAAAGGCACTGTTGTGCTTGCCGCCGCCCCTGAAGCAAGCCTGCTGACATGGAGAGGCTTGAAGCCAGTTCCCAAAACCCGTAAAGTCTACGCTGAACCCTAAACCCCCATGAGCCCCACAACCCTAAACCCTAAACCCTAAACCCTAAACCCCCATGAGCCCCACAACCCTAAACCCCCAAGACCCGAAACCAGCTTATTGAAGTCCTCAAGTCTAAACCCCACAAACCCCACCCCAAAAGCGCCTAAACCCTGAACCCTAAACTCCTGAACCCGAAACCCCACACCCTGAACCCTGAACTCCTGAACCCGACACCCTAAACCCCTGAGCCCTAAGCTCCTAAATCCGAAACCACACCCCGGAAACCCTAAACCCTACAACCCTAGAACCCTAAACCCCTAAACCCTAGAACCCTAGAACCCTAGAACCCTAAGCCCCTGAAACCCTAAATCCTAGAACCCTGAACCCCCAAATCCTGAGCCTTACGCCTCCCCTTCCCTAAACCCTAAACCCTAAACCCTAAACCCTAAACCCTAAACCCTAAACCCTAAACCCTAAACCCTAACCCCTAAACCCCTAAACCCCTAAACCCCTAAACCCCTAAACCCCTAAACCCTAAACCCTACACCCGAAACCCTGGCCCTAGCCCCTCTCTCCTGCGCGAGCTCTGGAAGGCAAAGGCCACGCCCAGAGCCAACGCGTCTTGGGTCAGCTCCTGGTCTCCACGAGAGCTTTAGGGTTTAGGGTTTAGGGTTTAGGGTTTAGGGTTGAGGGTTTAGGGTTTAGGGTTTAGGGTTTAGGTTTAGGGCTTAGGGCTTAGGGTTCAGGGCTTAGGGTTTCGGGTTTCGCGTTTAGGGCTTTGGGGTTGGGGGTTCAGGGTTTGCCCGGGGTGTAGGCTTGTCAGAAGACGTGGCTGAGGGGGGGGGGGTAGGTGCGTTCCTTAGGGTCTAGGGTTTAGGGTTTAGGGTTTACAGTTTAGGGTTTAGGGTTTAGGTCCCCAGTGCAATCCGGTCCAAGGGCAAGTGTGCAGATGCTGGTGCGCAGATGCTCCTCCTAAAGCCCAAACCCTTTCCTTTATTTGCCCTAACGCACCGTCAACGTTGATTATGTTAATGCCTCAGGTGAAAATGAACGAGCCGCGTAGACGAAATAATCCAGAAAACGCCGTTATTATATTCTGACAGGTGGTTTTGATGAGGTGTTTTCCCGTTCATCAGGAGCTAGTAGAAGAAAGATATGAACGAAGCGACGAAACGAATATGAAATGAAGGGAGCGAAGTGATCCCGCAGTGCAATAGTATTCGTCTTTGTCTTGTTCATAGGAAGTAGGGGGTTCATATTATTCTATAATATGTCCCGGGCGAATAATGGTGTAATTGCCCGGCGAAGAATAACAATTGTGTGCGTGAACAAAGCGAGAAATCCACAACTCTTGTGGTTAGGGAGCTTTAGGGTTCTAGGGGTTAGGGGGTTTAGGGTGCTGGGGGCTTGTTGAGGGGTATTAAGGTTCTAGGGATTGAGGGGATTGGGACTCAGTTCAAGCTGAGTTTAGGTTCCGAGTCCTGCGGCCACCTCTCTTTGACAGCAGGCACGAGCAGGAAGTGATTTCTGCCAGGTGCAAACAACATGCTCAACCCTAACCCTAAAGTTTGGAGTCTAGCGCCTAGGGTTTTCGGGGAACCCCCTAAACCCCAAACCCTAAACCCTAAACCCTGCTATAACCCTTTTAGGGTGCACGGCCTGTAACCCAAAGCTCTGAGCCGATCAAATCCTACAAGGTACGAGTTCTTCGTGGGAGTTCGGGCCTTGGAATCCCGACACAGTCCCTTATAGGGTCGCATCGAGAGATACAAGAAACCTAAGCCCTCCATTCCTGATTTAGGTGCAGCATGTCACGGCAAAACATCGCGATTCGGGCTTGGGGCTTCGGTTTTTTTAATTCTGGGGCTTTTGGTACATGGTCTAGTAGCTTTATGCACCAAGGTCCGAGACGCTGAGACAAGGGTCCCCACCATTAACATTCAAATCTCCCACTGCCGAATCTACACAACCCCTGAACCCTAAGCCCCTAAACCCTGGACCCTCAACCCTCAACCCAACTCTAAACCCTATAAACCCTAAACCCTAAACCGCCGAAGCCCTCAACCCAGAAGCCCAATCTGCATGCGCCTACAGGCCGGATGCTTGTTGATGATGACGACCTGGTTCTGCTGTTGGTTGGTGCACTGCTCAGGGTTGTACTTCCTTCGTGGTTTAGGGTTTACGGTTTAGGGCTTAGGGCTTAGAGCTTAGGGCTTAGGGCTTGGGGCTTAGGGTTTAGGGTTTTGGGGGTTTTCTTCTTCCCGAAGCCCTCAATCCTAAACACTACACCCGAACCTCAAAAGTACAGCCCTGCACCCAGACCCCAAACCCCTAAACCCTCAACCCTAAACCTAAAACAGAAGCGAAGCCCTAAGCTGTGGGGAGCTTTGCAGGGCTTAGGGCTTCAGGCAACTACAGCGGCCCATGTTTGGGGTTTGGGCCCCCACGGTTTGGAGCTTCGCGTTTTGCGGCACTCTTAGGGGCCAGGGTTCAGGGTTTAGGGTTTAGGGTTTGGGGTGTCCATGGGCAAGTCAGTGCTGCCGCATTGTGTAGAGGCAGCGTAGGGGCGAAGATCCACCCAAGTTTGGCCGGGCAGCAGCAGCCCTGGTGCACGCAACGCAACTTAGAACAAGCCGGAGGCTCACTAAAACCCTCAACCCTCAACCCTCAACCCCAAGCCCCAAAGCCTGAGCCCTCAGCCCTATCCCTAAATCACAACCCTTTGGTTATAACTGCAATTACACCTATAATTGCGCCTATCATTGCACCGACCCCCTAGCAGGGCGAGGCACCGCGGGCTCGTCCGTGTCGATGCCGCAATCCTGCGCGACCCCGGCGGCAGCAGCCGGGCAGGTGCCCGCCGAGGTCTGCGAAGCCTTAGGCCGTACCATAAAGGAGTTTAGGGTTTAGGGTTGAGGGTTGAGGGTTGAGGGTTGAGGGTTTAGGGTTGATGGTTTCAGGGTTTAGGGTATTCTAGTGTATTCATGAAGGGGCTATAAGGGAATCCCGACAGTAATTATCCCGACCCAGCATTAGCTTCTTTGTATTGAGGACCCCTCCAACTGATCGGTTCTTCGGGAACGAGGGAATGAGGTACCCTGAAAGATCTCCCCCTCCCCGCCTCTCCCATGATACCGAAGCCTAAGCCTACAAGGTCTTGTCACGATTCAGGCACCGCCCACCCAACCTGAAACCCCTAGACCCCTAAACCCCAAAACCCTACGCTTCAAGACACACCTGCGTCTTGGAGGTCTTTTCAGGGTGTCCTGAGTCCTTAGAAAAAGGGCTTTCTCTTTAAGGGGGCCCGACAAAAGACCCTAACTTAGAGAACTACTCATTTAGAGTTCGCAGTGTTTTGGATTGAGGATTTGAGGTTTAGGGGAGGAGCTTGGGGCACCTTTTCAGGCAACACTTGATCTTCAACACCACGCTGTCCACAAATGGGGGGGGGGGGGCGGGTTTATGTTTGGGTCTAGGGTTTAGGGGTTGGGAGAGGGTTGTATGTCTCAAGCCTTAATATTCTCCACGCCTGTATGTCACAGGTCTCCATGTACTGCAGGACTAGGTGTGTCGATGTTCTTGTCCCCGCTTCGCACACTGAATCCACTTGACCCATGATTTGGGATGTTCCCCCCTTATACTAGCAGTCCCTGGGCCGTCTCTGCGCAGCCTAAAGGCTATCTCTAAGAATGAACATAGTCCAGTAGAAACTGCAACAAAAAGGCCCCGAAGCCCCAAAACTTCAACTCTGAAGCCAAAAAAACCCTCAGGCATCATAAGGTCTGGAACCCCCAGAACATCCCATCCAAAACCCTAAACCCCAAACCCCAAACCCCAAACCCTCAAACCCTCAAACCAAACCCTCAAACCCTCAAACCCTCAAACCCTCAAACCCTCAAACCCTCAAACCCTCAAACCCTCAAACCCTCAAACCCTCAAACCCTCAAACCCTCAAACCTCAAAAACCCTCAAACCCTCAAACCCTCAAAACCCTCAAACCCTCAAACCCTAAACCCCTATACCCCAAACCCTGAACCTAAAGACCCGAATCACGAAACCCCAGGGCCCCTCCGCGCCTGCGTACAGCTCTGGCGCCGTGGGTCGAAGCAGAAGAGGATCTCCTTCAGGGTTTAGGTTTTAGGGTTCAGGGTGTAGGCTTCAGGGTGTGGGGTTTCGAGTTTAGGGTTTAGGGTTTGGGGTTTAGGGTTTAGGGTTTAGGGTTTAGGGTTTAGGGTTTAGGGTTTAGGGTTTAGGGTTTAGGGTTTAGGGTTTAGGGTTTAGGGTTTAGGGTTTAGGGTTTAGGGTTTAGGGTTTAGGGAAATCGGGAACGAGGAATCTTACATCATTCAAGGTTTACTTAGGGTAGCGAACTCCTTCGCTCCCCATGAAGAGCTGGAGGGCTTGGGGCTTAAGGGTTGCTAGGGTGTGGCGTTTACGGGTTCAGGGGTCTAGGCTGTAGGGTTCGGGTTTAGAGCTTAGGGTTTAGGGTTCTATAGTGTCCCGGAAATTCTGATTTGGGGGTTTAGAGGCTTGGGAGTTGGGTCTTCGCGGCTTCGAGGTTCGCGATTGAGGCTCGACAGCGGCAACCCCTTAGAGACACCCTGCAACCCTAAACCCTAGACCCTAAACGCCTAACCCGAAAAAACCTAAACCCTAGACCCTTAACCCTACAAGCAAGGGGATTTGAGGGCAACCCTCATAAGGGGATTTCCGAAAAGAGGGGTACCCCTGAAAAACCCCAAGATACTACAAAATCCCTTTAAAGGAACCCCCAAAAAATACTACATAATCCCTTTAAAGGAACCCCCAAAAAGGGTACCCCCAATTTTTGGTGGGAGTGTAGGGTTTTAGGGTAGCCCACGCCTCCTCCGCCACCTTGCCGAAGTGAAACCTCCCCCAGGCTCTCTTGGCAGTCATCGCCCTAAACAGCCCCAACCTCTAAACTGGTTTAGGGCTTAGGGTTTGGGGTTTAGGGCTTAGGGTTTAGGCCTTAGGGTTTAGGGTTTAGGGTTTCGGGTTTTGGGTTTAGGGTTTGGGGCTGCTTCCTTGTTGGGGTTCTATTAACAACTGGTTCCTGATTGGGAAGTTAATAAGATAAACATGCAACAATTTAACCAGCAAGGACCCAGTGAAGCCGAAGCCCTACACAGCAACCGCTAAGAAGTCAAGAGCTCCAAGGAAGGCGCCATACTGGCGACTTTTCAGGCCGGAGGGCTTGGAGGTTCAACATTTGTGGGGGATTCGGGGTTTAGGGGTTTAGGGTTTAGGCTTTAAGGTTTAGGGTTTAGGGCTTAGGGCTTAGGGTTTAGGTAGTGGGTTCAGGGCTTAGGTTCGGGCCCAGGTCCCTAAACTGACAGACCTGGCTGGGCTGCTCTAGACCAGCGCTTCAACACCCCCGAAGCCCGAAGCTGCTTAAAATCCGAAGGCCCCGAAGCCATTGAAGCCCTTTAACAACCAACACACACACATACCCAAACAGTATTGATACTGAAGACCGCCTTCCCTTAAGCGTGAAAAGTCCTGGGACCCTGCGGCCCTCCCCCCTGACACCTGCTATGATTGTTGCTTTACTGCTACTTTCTTGCCATGCTATTCTGATGTTATTGTTATTGTTCTAGTTGTTGTTCTAGATTCTAGAAACCTAAACCCTAAAACCTAAACCCTAAACTCCCTTATCCCTGCACCTAAAGCCTAAAGCCTAAAGCCTACACCCTAAACCCTAAACCCTAAACCCTAAACCCTAAACCCTAAAACCTAAAACCTAAACCCACCTCTCCGGGTCGAAGGCCACCCGCGTGGAGTTCGCGCCGCCCAGGGCCCGCTTCTGCCCGCGGCCTAAATGGAAGGGATGTAGGGATCTCGGTTTAGGGTTTAGGGTTTAGGGTTTAGGGTTTAGGGTTTAGGGTTTAGGGTTTAGGGTTTAGGGTTTAGGGTGTAGGGTGTAGGGTGTAGGGTGTAGGGTGTAGGGTGTAGGGTGTAGGGTGTAGGGTTTGGGCTTTGGGGTTCAGGGTCTGGGCTTTAGGGTTCAGAGTTCAGGGTTCAGGGTTTACTTAGCGTTTCGGGTTCAAGGGTTTAGGGCATACATGCTTGCATGCATGCCTGCATACATGCACGAATGTGCATGTATGTCCATATATATATATATATATACATATACACAATATTTGTTCTTTCTATATACTTTCCATTTGTATGATTTATGCACTGACTTTTGTCTATATTCAGAACCTATATTAAAACTTCATTTATCTCTAAAATGGTTTAAATATTCATATATTTCCCCCTGCCTCTTAGGATTGCAATACCCGAGCCATCATGTCAGAAGAACGCATACATGTCCTACAACAACGACTTTACCTTCGGAAAATCCTACAGAGACTGGTTGGAGGGAAGCCCTTTGACGGATCATGCACTAAGAGCCGGCTGCTGGTTTAGGGTTTAGGGTTTAGGGTTCAGGGTTCAGGGTTCAGGGTTCAGGGTTCAGGGTTTAGGGTTTAAGGTTGTAGAGGGTTTAGGGTTTAGGGTTTAGGGTTTAGGGTTTAGGGTTTAGGGTTTAGGGTTTAGGGTTTAGGGTTTAGGCTTAAGAAAGGCCGGAAGCCTGGAACCCGAAGCCCCAAACTTTGAATGCTTAGGCCTGACTTGCCCCAAACACTCCCACCCCCAAAGCCCTCAAACCCCCACCAGCCCTGAACCCTGCAAAACTCCAAAACCCTAAACCCTAAACCCTAAACCCTCAACCCTAAACCCTAAACCCTAACCCCGGACGCCTACATCAAGCCTTAGAAGCCCCCCTGGAACCGGCCTGGCGCCAACTGCGCCACGAAGGCGTAGGAGCCTGGCAACTCCTGAGCGAAAGCACAGCAGATCGAAGTCCTCGTAGAAACTTCGGGTTTAGGGCTTTAGTGGTTTAGGGTTTAGGTTTAGGGGGGGGGG